TCTCTTTGGACACCTTGTAACTAAACTATGTGATTGGTATCTATTTATGTTTTCTTTTCCTTTATGTCTTTCTCTAAATCTCTTTATGTGATTGTTTGTTAGAGTTATTGATTGCCAAAGTAGATAATGGTCTAAACTTACTTGTATTAATTGTTGTTATTTCTTAACCTATTACTTTGCCTCTTTTGATGTTGTCAAAGGGGAAGAAGCATGTGGAAGCCAAGAACAAATGATATGAAAGCCGAAACAAAATGGTGCACAAAGATAGGGGGAGAAATCTCCAAGATTAAGATTATGATACTTGGTACTAAGGACAAGTTTTGCCATCATCAAAAAGGGAGAGTATGTAAGGGTAAGGTGCCTTCAATAAGGGTTTCAATGATGTCAAAACTTTCCACTACGTGTTGGAAATGTTGGTAGATGATATGGTGGAAAAGGTAGCATGAAAAGTCTTCAAGAATTGGTATTTTTGGAAATTTATATGCTATGAGTCGACTCAAATAAAGCTCCGGTTGGTGCATGATTATAAGTTGGTCCGTTGGGAAGTCTCGGGTTTACTCATTTCGACTGTGTGGTCGACTCATCCTGGGAGTAATGTTTAGGAACTATGTGTTGACGCATCACCCTGGAGTGGTTGATGCATGGACCTTGCACTTTGTCATGTGGCACTTTCGGGAATGCTCAGGTCGAGTCACCCTTTTGCATAGGTCGATGCATGGATTGTGAACATTGCCATATGGAACTTTTGGGAATGCTCAGGTCGAATCACCCTTCTGCATAGGTCGATCGTTCGCTCGTTAAATCTGTTTTTCAGCTTGTTAGTTTGGGTTTTGACTTGAGATAACATATATAATCTTGTAAGGTTCTATCATTTGGTTTTTAACAAGAAAAGTGAAATAGATACACAAGTTACTCATCATCATCAACCTCTCACTCATCCATTGACAACTACACATGATAATTTTTGTCAATCAAGGTGTGGAACGTGTGTTGATAACGTCTAAAGTAGAAGATTGCAATCTTGTTCGGGTTGAGTAATTGTGGGTTTTTCTTGAATAAAATCTGAGGGTTTTGTCCTCCAAGATCATTAGGATTTGGGGAGTTTTGACAATTTTTTGCTTCATCAAATTCAGTCGTGCTTAAGGGATTGAGGAACCGTGGGTTCGCTCGACAATGTAGCTACAGTCGGAGGATTTTGAAGGAAGAATTAGGGTCATCATCTTGCGATCAAATCAGCCGAGCAGAGGATTTGAGAAACAATTTGGGTTCTCAACAAGGTAGCTACAACCAGAGGTTTATCGAAGATTAGTGACATACTTGGTTCAAATCGAATCAAGGGAAGAAAGGAGCTTAGTTTTCAATTCAACGCATTGGGTTTGAATTGTGGTGACTATTTTCTATCTCTTGTACATACTTTGAAATCATAATAGCAATTATCCTAATTCTATATTCTAGAATTAGGGGCAGACGTACCCCACACGAGGACGACAGGGGGAATTGCCTAAACAAATCGTGTGTCATTTTTCTTTCTCGTCTTTTACCGTTTATTTGCTATAATATGTGAATTTGCACTTGTGGTTCCAAGTGTCTTGACTTGTAGTGCAATAGAACTATTTCTAAGGACTATAGTAATCACTTTGATTGTTATAATTGGTTTTAACACTATAAATTAAGATAGATTGGACTTGGTGTGATTACACACACCAAGTGTTCGATAAAAGTCTAAAAGTGAAAATTTGTGAGTTTTTCTTCTCAACAATTAATTGGAAGTAATTGGCAATAGTTAAAGAGTATAAGTGATTAATTATAATTGAATTAGGAGTTAATAATTCTCATTGATTCATTTCATTCGGTTTTACGCATATCCGGTCTTTTCAATAGAGGATCGTTTTTAGATGAGTGTATCTGGGTAGCTTTCATTGTGTTTCAAACTTTGTTTAAAAACTCATTTTAAAATTCAATTATCTATTCAACCCCCCTTCTAGATACATCATATTCATCATGAAGTATCTTTGACGTCGAAATGGAAAAATTCTGCAAAAAATGTCTATTTCTCCAAGTATTTCGAAATACACATTGGGGGGGGGGGAGTTTGTTAGCTGAGAATATCGAGAACGCGTGAAATTAAGGAAAGTGAATAAGTCGAATCAAGTTTAGCTATGGAAAAGAGTATGAGAATATTTTCATATGGTCTTCGACTGACCAAACTATAAATAACTTGGTTACATTAAAAGGTTCACGAAAGTTCTTATGTTGAAGAATATATGGAATTTAAGAGAATGTGAAGATTCGAATTTGAAATATGTCGACGCATCATGTTGTGGTTTTGGTGCTTCAAATCAAAGGCATATTTAAATTCAAATGGTTTGGTCTTATCCAGAAATACGCGTGGAAGCTCGAGGGTTCAAGGAAGCATGTAGCGTCGAATGTGGCGTTTCTATAGAGTAAGACCGTTAGGATCGAATTATTATAAATAGGGATCTTTGTATTAGGATTCAGTGTATTCACTTTTGTACAAATTACTCAGATAAATTCGAAGCACATGTGTTGGAGAAAAGAGTCAATGAGAATGTACGTATGAATCACCACATATTACTTAATTTTCAATTTACATTTATCAAAGTCATTTTTATTCCTTTCACTTTTAAGTCGGAGTCCTTTTATTTTCCTATAGTCAATTTACATATAATTTATGTCATTTACACTTTAATCATAACCTTTGAAAAGATGAACATTCGAAAGATATAAACTTTTGAAACAAAACACATGTCTTGGAATCAATCTAGTCGATCATGTGAGTAACCAAATCTTTTTCATTTTGGAAGACTAGCGGTTGTTTACCAATTTTCAAAGTAAACAGTGGGATGCTATCATTGCAGAAATGTTCACGATGTTCATGTGTTAAGCTAGCTACATAGAAACGGTTTGTGTTTAAAATCATAATTAGAAAACTTTACTTATACTAACAGGGCTCTGTCTTCCGTGAGAGATCGTGGTAGGTTTTCCACGTGAACGTGGTTGTTGTTGTTTTTCGTTTGCTAGCATGTAGCGGGGGTTTTTAACCTCCGAAATAAAAAAATCCCCGTAAAAATAAATGTACAACAATAAATTTTTTGATGAACAAAGTATGGATATCACTGTTTTTAACTAGAGTGCAAGATACGTATGGATATTTGAACTGAATTTCATTTTTGAAACAAGACATTTACCCTATTTTTCTTTACTTATCTTTTATTTTATTGAAAAGTTGTGACTTACATAATGAGTCAGTATTCTGATTTAAGGTTTGAGTTTCATTTTTGATAGTGAAATGTAAAACATAATGAATAACAAGTGAAGAAGAATCAGAAATGAAAGGAAAACCTTCTTTAATATTCCTTTGTTGTAATTGCACCGAATCTTTTACAATAATATTCCTGCAGGATATTGATAAATCGAGACAAATTCAAAATGAGGGAAACGAAAAGCAATTTCAGAATAAATTAGACCTTTTTCTGCAAGAATAATTTATCAAACTACAACTAGAAGCTATTTATTGTACACTCTAAATGATGTACTATTTAATATCAGGCACAACGAGACCGTCAACAATGCTAATTCAATAATACTAATTATTTTTTAAATCACTTTCAAGATCAGGAAAACTAAAGCTTTTCATGAAAATATGTTTTAAGCCATTGGATTAAAACTGCATGAGTTACAATTATTTCATAAACGGCAGCTGATTCAATTCCTTTGTTCAATCCAAGTGAAGAGTAAGGAAAATTCTGTGACAAACAACTCCCTCTCACAAAATAGTCAGGACTAACGATACTATATCATTGGGAGAATACCTAAGTGTCCGGAACAATCAACATAGTTATTTCCAATTTCTTCTTAAAATCGAACAAGTGTTATTCGTGATCAATTTCCGTTGTGATAAATATCAATGTTGTGTAAGCTACGAAGTAAGTGGTGACAAGAAAGAGCTTACAAAATTGCTTGAAAATTAGAGCTTACAAAATTGGAAGTATCTCTTTGGTTCTTGAAAATTAGAACAATTGTCTTCACTGTTGTTGTTGTTGAAGGGTCTAATTAAGGTGTTTGATGAAATGTCTCTAAGGAAATTTTCTAGATTTGTTAGAGGAGGTTTGAAATCCCCACAATCTAAAATACTTTTAAAATTTTTTACGTTGTCTTTGCCACGTAGCTTCCGTTAATGAAAATTGACAGCAGGAACCAAAATTATGGATGAAAAATTTAATGAATACCAATATTTTAAAAAAAAAATTGAAAAAACTAAAAATAAAATTGAATCCCACCAAACATATCAATGGTTTTTCCATGAACTGAAAATATGCTGGACTCAGTTATTTGATCGGTTGGACCACAATTTCAATCGTACTATGATTTTCTGTTCTGGTTTAAAGTATTGCTTTAACATACTTTCAGGCAAAGTATTCGGCAACACAACTCACATTAATTTTTAAAAAACTAAATCTTCCATAGAATCCACTTTATGGCCCTTAAATTAGTTCCCATGCGTTGGCCTCTTTCCCTAACTCAATAATTGATGTTCCAAGCATGCTCAAGATCCACCAATTCTTTTTGCCAATAAAAATTACTATAAACGTGTACGACTAGATCTCAAACTATTCCACATCCCTGCAATAATCATGTGCAAACCATCTATCTATGTTATGTATGACACCCACCAAATAACTGTCGCACAACTTCCATTTGTGCATTAAATACTACTCTTATTTATAAGTACGTGTTCAATGTTATATATTATTATAAGATTTATAATATACCTTTTCAAGCCTAACAATTGGTCCGCGATAACAAAAATCTAATAATAAGTGATCAAAACATCTTAAACCAAGTTCCAATATCATGTTGAAAAATGTAGATTGACCTATCTCTTTTTACAAGACCGTTTTACAAAACCTAATTATAAGTGTGAGGATTGTGTATTATTTACACAATATATAATAAACAAACGATTAACATTCTGATTCTCATTCGGATTCTGATTCTGAGTTTTTCTTGAAAACAATAAGGCTGTGATTACTGACAACTCCAACATGAATGATAGACGAAAACCTTAACAAGGATGAAACCGGTGAAGCAATTCTTATCATGTTAATGTTGTTAATGTCATGAACGGAATAAACACTCTCACTCTCACTATCAAAATCCAAAAGCAAAACGCCGATTCCGTTCGGTTTAAGAATACGTTCAACTTCAAGAACAAGCAATGCAGGGACAGTAACTTTCCCTAAATCATCGGACAAAACAAACCCGAACGAGGCGTCGCGATACTGATCAAGCGAGTAAACGAAATTCTTCATGTTGAATGAGAAAAATCTATGGTTAATCACATTGGAGAAACCGAGTTTCTGCAAAGTGGAAACGGCTATGTTTGAAGCTTCGCCAATACAAAGAGATTCAACGCTGTGATTCATGAGTCTTCGTTGAGACTTCAACTCTTTGACTACGTTTGAAACCAAGTTGATTTCTTTTTTGCAGTTCAATGAGTCAAATGAACCCCAGAAGTTGTTTATGATTCTACTCTGGAAGAGATAAGAACCTGGTGATATAGTGACGTTTGAATCTTCGAGTTCAATGGTGCAATCGTGGTCGTAGGTTTTGGGGACTAAATCCATGGTGGGTAGTGAGTGAAGAAGTGAAACGATGGAGATAGCAGTAGCAAGAAGTAGTGCTCGGAAAAACACAGTTCTTAGTATTGGTGATCCAAAAGGGTTGTGAAATCTGGTAGAGGATTTGGATTTGGAATTGGAATTTGGATCCATGGAAACTCTTGAATTGAAAGGAGGGTGTTGTTTAATGTTTATATAGGGAGAGACATAAGATAAGGTTGTAACAGAATTAGAAAATATAGGAAATTGAAACTTAGGATAAGTAAAATATGAATTTAAAATAGTAATAGAAGAGAGAGATTTAAGTGGATGAGTTTGTTAGGATTTGAATTTTGGGGTACATTTAATGGGATAGGGCAGAACATAATTAGAGTGAGAAAGTCATAGGTTGGAGATGTTGTGAGAAGTGGGGGTCTCCTAGGTTAACGTGGCATCATCTAGAAGTTCCTTATTGATGTTGATGTTGAACTCAACTACCTTCTACTAAAATATAGCAGCTCAAGATTTTAATATCTAGAATAGAATTGTTTGTTATCCATTGAGAAAGTTGGATGCAAATATCTAGTATAAGTTGAAACTAACTCGAAAAATAAGGTTTTTTAATTAGTAAAGTAAGTAAAAATAGTTAATAAAAAACACTAGTTATATTAATTTGATTTTGATTATTTTACATTTTTATTAACGGGACATTATTATTATTATTATTATTATTATTATTATTATTATTATTATTATTATTATTATTATTATTATTATTATGTGTTGGTGCAAGGTAATGAAGTGAGAGAAGAAGAATGAACAAGAATAATAACAACACTACTGTTGTTGTATATCAAAATAGAGGAGATAAATTAGGGATACAATATTGATAACTAGTATAATATATTTATACTAAATATTGAAAATGTCAAAAGGTCCTATTAAAGATAAGCATTGGGAATTGTGGATAATAATTAAATTATATTTCCAATATCATCCCTTAATTTAGATATTCTATAAGAAGCTAACAACATCAATTTCATCTCTCAAGCAAAGAAATTGATATGTTTTAACTGCCTTCGTCAGAAGATCTACTAGTTGTTTTTGAGTGCTGCAGTGCATAACTTCTAACACTCCTTTCTGCACTTGACTTTTGGGAAAATGATACTTCGTCTCAATGTGTTTGTTTCTTTCATGTAGAACTGGATTCTTGGCAAGATCAATTGCAGACTTATTATCAATCATCAGCTTCAGAGGTTCCTCAACTTCAACCTTCAGATCATGCAGGAGATTCAGAAGCCAAACAGCTTGACAAGAAGCTACAACACCTGCGATATACTCAACTTCACATGTTGACAGAGCCACGACATGCTATTTCTTGGAACTCCAGGAAATGAGACCTCCCAGAAATTTAAACAAGTATCCAGAAGTACTTCTCCTGTCCACTCTGTCTCCATACCAGTCAGAATCAGAATAACTTATTAATTCTGATTCTGTCTTACTTTCAGAAGGAAATAACACTCCATATTTCAGGGTTCCTTTGATATATCTCAGAATTCTGACAGCAACTTGGAAATGAGACCACTTTGGATTACTCATGAATCTACTAACAATCCAACTGCATAATAAATGTCAAGTCTAGTATTGCATAAATACCTTAGAGAACCAACCAACTGTTTAAAGATTGTAGAATCAACAAAATCACCATCAGAGCCAGAATCCAATTTTTGATTCGATTTCCTCTTAACTTCACCATCCATCACTGTCTGTTACTCTCTCTGTTTCTCCAACCACCTTCACCATTCATCCTTTTCCGTCCAACCACCATAAACCCCTTAGTACAACATCATAACCGCTCAACAGCTAGTAGGTCCCTCTTTCTCCATCGCAACCTTCACTTCACTGAATTCATCGCCATCATCGCGGTCTCAGCCGCCAGCTTCAATCTATCGCAATTTTATTTCTTCATCTCTTCTGTTTAATACAGTAACCTTCACACACCGTCCGCGAGTTCACCACCGCTCCAGCTTCATCATTCACAAGCCCTTCACGATCCCTCAACAGGCTTGTGCTTCATTCTCATACATATGCATGCATATCATTGGTTTTATGGTTATGGGTCAAGGACTCTTGTAATTTGGATTTTCCCCATTCAAAGAGGAGGATATGGCACTCAAGGAAATGCAAGGTTGAATTATCATTATCAGGGTTGTGATCTCAAAACACAAGATCATCATTTATTTTAGAGTTCCTCAAGAGGATCTCAAGTTAACTAAGAGCTAGGGTTTTGTTGAGGCGCACATATCAAATAAAGCATGGTTCTTCATATTCTTCTGGTTTTGCTTCAAGCAGTGAAGTGTGGAATTAGGGTTGTAATTCATGGTTATCAGAGACTTTCTTCTCATCAAGCTAACATGGTTATTCTTCTTCCAGATTCACCAAGGTCTTGAATTAGAGTTTATTTTTCTGTATTTATTAAAAGATGTGTGTTTGAGTAGGGAGAGAATTTGAGTTTATCCTCGGTATAAAAGGCTTTCCTTCAGCAGTCTTCTTCAAGATTAAGGTTTTCTCATCTTTTGTGCTTTAACTCAAGATATTTGGTTGGAGTTTTCTTCAAAGTATTTCAATTGAGAATCTTACGAGCTAGAATTTTTGTCATGAGCACTTTCCTTGTCAAAGTGTATCAAATTTCTTCAATATATCTCAAAGAGAATTAGAGTTTCATTCATTATGCGCGACCATGTGCACTAATCAAAGATCATAAGATTAGGGTTGAGCTTCATCAAAGGATTTTCTCAAAGATGCATTATTTTTCTTTATCAAGATTCTATTTGGTTGAGATGCAAAGTGTGAGCTATGGTACAAAGCTGGATTGATGGATTTATTTTGATTGAGACAATTTTTGTTATTTCAACTACAAGATAACTTTGATCTTGAGAATTTGAAGTTAGATGCTCAAAGATAGGTCACAAGTTCTAATTTCAAGGCATTATTAAAGTTTATCAAAAACTCATTCAACAATATTCAAGTTGGTTTCAAGGTTTTAAAGATTTATTCAAGACGCGATTTATCAAGTGGTTCATTTTAAATTCAAGGGACAAGGTACACTATTGCAAAAGCATTGTTCAAAATTCATTCATAAGGCATATTCAGGTTTGATTCAAGGTTAATTTTGAAAATCCATTCATATGGTATACAAGATACAAGTTTGTCAAGTGGATCTGTATCATAAGGTGGGAAGAGTTAATTCAAGAAGATTGGAAAGCTAAGGCATATGGATTGTTTGGAGTTGAAGTTATAAGTTGCAAAGTTTAACATACATCATTGTTTTATTCACAATTCATCCTCAAATCATTCAAGTTTCAAGTTATAATCCATCATCAACATTACAACTTTTCCATTGTTACAAAGGAAACCCAAGACTTCAAAAGTTAATAGAAACTTTACAATAAGAAAGCTAGTTACATGGAATATTTCTAACGCTAATGCCTAAGTCTAAGCCAACTTTCAAACTTACTCCCATGGTCCAAAATTTCTTCTTCAACCAAAACCTGCATAAACATGCTTGCAGTCACATTTGAGCCAAGTCTTTTCATCTTCAATACCCAAAATCCAAAGTGTTGTCATGCTTACAAAAGCCATTTAAATGTCACAACCCCGCAATACACAAACCTACTGCACATATACTGCTATACCAAGCACAGTCTGTACAGACCACAAAACATCGTGACTTTTATTCAAATTCCGTGCTCTGTTGTCCATTCGCACAAACCAAAACCACATTGAAATAAGAGAAAACCAGGAAATGCAAACAAGGGGAAAATCAGGAAATAGTACAGAGAAAAAATTAAATCAGAAAGAGAAATTACAGCTCAACAAAACATCTCCGACAAGACTTAATCTCAACCATTCATGCTCTAACAGACTGATTCAAACCAAGAGCTAGGATTTCTTGACTCATAACAAACTTTTTGTTAAATAAACTTTAACGTTATAAATAATGGGCTTCTATTAATAAGTTAGTGGGAAGGTTAAAAGTCTATTGTAATTGGAAGGCCAAGAGATAGTGGCTTATAATAGTATTTACTAATATTATTTGCTTTCCTAGAATAGTAGAAGTCTTTGAGTCTATATAAAGACCAAAATTGTATTCTATTTAACAAGTTATATAAAAATTATTTGCTCCCTTTCTAACAAATTGATATCAGAGCTAATGGCAAACATGATGAATCAAATGTCGTTGCCATGGCTAACAAAGTCAAATTATGAAAACTGAAGTATCCAAATGAAAGCTCTTCTTGAATCTCTAGATGCGTGGGAGGTGACCAAAGATGGGTTTGAAGAACCAACAGACATTACAGGACATACGACAGCTCAAAATAAGGCGTTGAAAGAGACGCGATCGAAGGATAAAACGACATTATACATGTTGTTCAGCACTGTTGACTAATCAGGCTTCAAAAAGATTGCTAGTTCGACTACGTCGAAATAAGTATGTGACACGTTAGAGAAAGTGTTCAAAGGAGCAGACCGAGTGAAGCAAGTTCGACTCTAAACTCTTCGTGGCGAATTGGAGAGGATGCAGATGAAGGAGACAGAAACTGTATCTGACTACATCACACGTGTACAAAAGATAATGAACCAACTCACCAGAAATGGTGAAACAATAACTGATGCACGAGTTGTTGAAATGATTTTGAGATCTTTAACAGATAAATTTGAGAATATTTTGTGTGCAATAGAAGAGTAGAAGGATCTTTCGATGCTCTCAGTCGAAGAGCTCGCTGGTTCTCTCAAAACACATGAACAACGTAAGATGAAAAAGAAAGAAGAAGCAGCCGAGGAAGTAAATCAAACCAAGGAGTCGATCAAAGACGAAAAGGTACTATTTTCTCAAAACTTTCGAGGAAGAGGATGTGGCCGTGGAGGTCGTGACAGTGGTCGAGGCAGCAACTTCGAGAGAGCACAGTCGAACCAACAAAATTGGCGTGGCAAAGGACGTGGTCAAATAGGTGGTTGGTCGAACCACTCCAACTTCAAATGCTACAAGCATGGGAAGTATGGTCATTACACGAAGGATTGCAATTTCTACAAATGCTATAACTGTGATAAAGTGGGACATCTTGCAAAAGATTGTCGAATCAAAAAGAAGGTAGAAGAAAAATCAATCTAGC